GGGGGGGGGGGGTGGGCACACTAGCTGCGCCCCCCCCCAGCAAACCAGGGAGACCGGGAGAAGTTTTTCTTGCCCCAGAGGACACGGGTGGCGACCCGCTGCCCGTGAGCTCCGGGGCAAGAAAAGCCCCGTTCGTAAGTGCGGATCCGACATAAGTTGGATCCGCGTAAGTCGGGGACTGCCTGTAATGTGTTTCCTATTTATTTTTCCAATAATTTACATTTCAAATTACATTGTAAATGGAGCAAAGATTACTTCCAAATATCATCTGTACACATGCTGCCTGAGAACTAAAACTCAAGCTGCTTTCTGCTCTTAACACTGATGTAGTAAACATTCTGCAAACCAAACTGCTTCAGATAGTAGTGGCATTAATGTAAAAAGCAGAACAGAATCCAGTTCACTGTCTCATAGCCTATACAGGAGTAAAACCTTACTTTGAGTCTTACAGATGAACATTAACTAGACATAATGGGCCCATAGGCGCGCTCTCTCTCTCTCTTTTAGCGAGAACAGACCTATTTGCATGAGTGCTATGACCAAGGTTTCCAGAAACAGGCCATAGCAAGAAGTGACATTGTTAAGAAGCAGCCATTTTTGGATAATGCCTTTTAGTTCATATCAGCCATCAGACAACAAAATTCATATCTATTAATTTTGTAGCAGCTTCACTAGACTAAGTTTGCAGTGTCTACATTGCTAGCAAATATTGGTTTGACTTTTGCTTGGAGAGAAACAAGCAAGCAAGGAAGCACACACCCTGCAAAAGCTGAACTCTGCAAACCAAGTACCCTGAAGGGCAAATAAATTAAATAGTCATGAGATTCCTATGAGTCCAGGACAGTGGAAGCTCTTGTTTGTCTTCATACTTATGTGCAGATTTCCACTTAAGAGAGGCAGATATATCACTGCTCCAGGGTGGTGGGGCCTCCAAACAATGTGGCCAGAGCTTTCACTGAGTGTGCCTTAACTATGCATTCATGCCAGCTTGGGAGACAGTGAAAGCAATATGAGGTATTATTAATGGGCATCAAGAAAAACACTTGTTCAATATTTTGGAGGAACAATAAATATACATGTATTATAAAAGTCTGTAGGGAGAAACTTCATTTCCACTAATTCTTTTTTTCTTTTAAATAAGATATAGACCACACAGTTAATCCACAGTTTAATGCCAAGTTTGCTCCGAGCTGCATACTGCTGTAAACTGGCTGAACTTTTCTGTGTGATGACATGGAAATGAAAGGATTTTTTTCATACTACTTCCCCATCCTGACTAAATTATTTCCTCCATATATTTTCCACAGATCTCCCATTAACAGAATAGCAGCACATGTATCTTTGTATTCACAATACACCATCTTTACTAACTGCACAATATTAATTAAAGCTTTTTATAGCTATAAAGTATAACTCTTTTGCATTTAACTTTTACTCTTCACCATACTAGTCAACAACATACCTTTAAAACTACATTCTTTTTTAGTGAGTTCTACAGAAATTAGATCCTACCTTTCTGTGCCTGCTTTCGGCAGCAGCTAGTTGAGAGAGCATTCTTTCCTGCATATTCTTGCAATGTTTCATCACTACTTTTAGGATAGACAAAGGATTGGAGCAAACTGGCTGTTTTTCACCATGATTTCCCACCTTCAGCATCTCAAAATCTCTCTGCAGAGCCATTAGTGGATCACTGATGTTGTACTTTCCATAGCGTTCTTCAATGAAAGTGTTTCTGTGTTGGGCCTGAAATATATAAATATGTATTTCAATTTATTAAAAAGTGGTAACTGAAGAATTGTACGTAAACTGACAAATCATTTATAGATAGAACAAATTATCAATCATATTTCATTTCTTGAGCCGTAAAAATCACAGTTGCTTGATGTGAGATACAGACATAGTTATCTGCTCAAGGGATAAAAGTATATAGCACTGCACTTTTGTCCCCTCCTGATGAAAAGTGCTGAGTTAACAGTCCCAGAGACTAAAAAGCTCTACTAATTCATAGAACAGACTAGAAGCTGGTGTAGGAATGAATACAACAGTAACAGCACACTGACATTTAAATTGTCAATTAGTGCAACCTCCATGACCTATTTAGACATTGTCATCTCCACTGATGCTGCTAACAAGAGGGCCCATAAGGGTCCTGGTTTTTGTGGTGAATACGCTGGTTCTTTGAGAGAAGGACATAGTCCAAACAACTTATTTCATAGCTCATGAAAAGCAATCAAATGGCTACAGCACACATCATCAATGCTTCAACAACTTTCCATCCTTCTGAATCTGGTAGAACGGGGTCAAAAAATCCTATTCCAAATCAGTCACATTTCACAAGGTTGTTGTTTTAGTTGTTGCTTGAAATTGAATCAGAACTTTTTCCACAATCAAAACATTTTAACCAACCCCAACACACAGCACAATATATTGTTGTTTAGCTTTCCCCACCATCAAACCCCAAATTTGTCAAAAAGGTGAGGACCAGAATATGACATCCTCCATGGCACAGCTTGAGGTTAATACAGAACAGGAATGGGGTGAGGTATGTTTTAGGAATTTTTTTTTTTTAGTGCTGCATGGCTTACATGAACTTTAGATTTCCAAATGTGTTTATTTTATCAATTACCCTGCACAGCAAATCATTTAAAAAGATCAAAACTGGCCTCTACCACAAGATACAGGAAGAGAAGCTAGTTTCCCAATATACATGGCAATGTGGTTTGAAGGATAGCAGGGGCTGCATGGAGACAGGGACTGAAAGTACAAACTCTGTCTCATGTGGCAAACCACAGGTGAGCCAAAGTGCAGATCCAAAAGCATGATGTTTCCAGCTCTATGCTCTTTCCTGCTAGAATTACTTCAGTTGAATCTACTGATTTCCATTTTTCCTTTCCCCAGCAGGAAGCCACATGCAAAAATAAATAAATCCAGCTCCAATGCCCATGTGTTTTGATTGTAATTAAAATGCCAAAAAAAAAAACCCCAAGAAGATCATCATTAAAAGGATTCTTTTCAATGAAGAACCAAGGACCTCCTTTCCCCATAATGACCCCAAAAGTTTGCTCATATTATCTGAAACCAGATCAAGGTCAAAGCTGCTTGTTTTCTCGAATTCTGTGAACTGTATCCCCCTCCACATGCATGTGGCTTAGTGGCTGGAATACGGGATCAGGAATCTGGTCCATTCCTGGCTCTGGCATGGAAATACTATAAAACTTAGACCAAGTCTCTTCACATCAGTGTCTCAGCATCCCCGCGTGTATAAAAAAAGGGGCTTATTTCCTAAGTTTATCTAAGTAAGAGTGTGTCCCACCAGTGACCAAAAAGCAGTACAACTGCAGACTTGGACCAAAAAGTGGTACAACTGGAGTCTACTCTGACAAAAAGCCCTTGCCTCTCAGGGGCAAGTTTTCCCTGGCATTACGAATTGCCTTGAATGCTAGTTTTCGGTGGTGCTGAAAAGACACTACTGTTTTACCACCTCCAGAGTGAAACCACTGGCAAGGGAAGATGTGCTCTTTTATAATATCATGTACCAAACAGATACTCCCAACCCTTCTCCTGCTCCACTGGGACAGGATGCAAAAACTGGAGTTTCAACAACTCCAACTCATAACTGGAGTTTCAACAAATGGTCATAGACTCATAGACTTTAAGGTCAGAAGGGACCCTTATGATCATTTAGTCTGACCCCCTGCGCAACGCAGGCCACAGAATCTCACCTACCCACTCCTGGAATAATCCTCTCACCTATATCTCAGATATTGAAGTCCTCAAATGATGGTTTAAAGACCCCAAGATGCAGAGAATCCTCCAGCAAGTGATCTGTGCCCCATGCTAGAGACGAAGGCGAAAAACCTCCAGGGCCACAGCCAATCTACCCTGGAGGAAAATTCCTTCCCGACCCCAAATATGGCGATCAGCTAAATCCTGAGCATGTGGGCAAAACTCACCAGCCAGACACCCAGGAAAAGTTCTCTATAGTAACTCCTATCATCCCACCATTGGCCTATTTACCACCGATAGTGAAATGTCAATTAGTTGCACAGATCATGTTATCCCATCAAACCATCCCCTTCATAAACCCATCTAGCTTAATCTTAAAGCCAGATAGATCTTTTGCCCCCACTACTTCCCTTGGAAGGCTGTTCCAGAACTTCACTCCTCTAATGTTGTTCTGTTCCTACAATTTGTTATATGCACGGAAAAAAGTGAAGCAAATCCAAGCAGAGACAGAGGACTCAACAGCTCACTAGACAGAGGATATTCCACTTCACCAATTACATCATGTTTTTGATCCATAATCAACACCATTTATTCATTCTGGGACAAAAATACTGAAAGAATCACTATTCCGAGAAAGTCAGAGCTCAGTGGAGCAAATGCAAACAAGGCACCCTTTCATGAACAGTTTGTGCATTGGAGGACAAAGGAAGGAAATATTTCTTTCAACTTTGTTACAAACAGGTGGCCATGCATTTGTGTAACTACTAAAGTTCAAGCACCAGCTTGGAAAAGTTGAAGGTTAGACAGAATTTAGACAGCTGACATACCCTATGATATATCCCTGTGAGGACTGACATGTGTAGAAACATTAAACCCAAGATGACAACTTCTTTAGAGACAAAAGTTACCTCATGAAAGGAGTTAGTAAGCATCATTATGTTACTATTTATGGCTTAAAAGCATCTGATCTTAAGCACTGACAACAACAAAGGTCCAATAGATCTTCTACAGTCTCTCATTTTCTAACTTGATTAGATTTTTTCACTAGTTCTTAAATCTAAAAGGAGGCTCTTAACTCAGTAATGTCCTAACAAGCACTACCTCAATCACAGGCAAGGAACAGAAGAGGTTGGTCAATGGAATTAACTAGCAAGTTGGCACGCTGCTCTAAACTCACCTTCTGTTCTTTGTTTAAACTCCAACCTCCTACACACAAACCACGAATACCTTTTGCAGCTGCTGACTGCAATGAGGATGTAAGCGAGGCAAATGCTTATAGGGTAGTCAAGTAGGAACTTGAGTAGTCACTTCTCCCCCACCCCCCCCTTGCTGCCTCTAACAGAGAGAGGCAACAAGGGGGGGAGGGAGCAGGAGCTGGGGGGAGCCAACTTAAAAGCCAGTATCCCCCAGCATGGTCTCCACAGGAGGATAGGGAAGGCAGTGGCGTAGCGTGGGACAGGGCACGAGCCAGGAATCAGTTGATTTCCGGCTCACACCCAGCTCCAGACTCTGTGCCTCTGCTTTTTAAATGTATTAAGAGCCAGGAATCACCTGGTAGCTCTTAATACATTTAAAAAGCAGAGCTGCAGCATCTGGGAGTGGGTGCAAGCTCAATATGAATAACCTTTGTGTGAGTGTTTCCTTAACTTTCCAATAAACACAACTTAAAACATGAGCATACCCCTGCACAGCTGGAAACCTCAACAGTACAGATTTGGGCCATGCACGAGAACAAGAGTGATATTCTCTAGGAGCAAACATGAAAAGTGGCTATGTCATATAAACTAACAGTTTGAAAAAGCAAACAGCAAGAATGGCCCTAACTGGGAAGCCCCGCACAGCCACCGGTGACAGGCTGGCTGGGAAAACCCGAGGCGCCCGGAGGGCTGCGTGGGGCTTCCCCTGCCTCCCTGCAAAGTGTCAGAGCATTCGCCGTGCCTTTCCCCGCTGACCCTCCGTCGCCGGACGCAGTGCGGGTCTCAGCAGACCCATTGCAAGGGCATACTCCCAACCCAATCCCCCTCCCCTCTCCTCCCCTTCCCTTCCCCAGAGCCAAACACCTCTCCTCCTCTCCCTCTCTCCCCTTGTTTCCTCCCCTGGTGACGCAGTGCGGGTCTCAGCAGACCCATTGCAGGGGCATACTCCCAACCCAATCCCCCTCCCCTCTCCTCCCCTTTCCTTCCCCAGAGCCAAACACCTCCCTTCCCTGCTGTAACCCAGTCCTCTTTCTCCCCCAACCTTATGTCCTGGTCCCAAGGGGCGCCGGCCGGGGCTCAGCGGCGGGCTGCTAACAAGTGCAGGCTGGAGCCGTAGGCACACATGCAGCTCACAGCAGTCCGGCCAAGAGAGCGGCTGAACGGAGCACTTCTGTGTTATTTCGGGGACGGTCGTGTTATTGAAAAAACATTCCCTTAAAAAAAAAAAAATTGTGCTATCGTGAAAATGTGTTAAGCGGGCACAGTTAAACGAGTAATTACTGTACATTTTCTTTCTTGACAATATCCCTGTATTATAGCAGCAGATTCTTTAAAAGAATTAGGCTATATCTACACAGCAGTGTTATTTCAGAATAACCTTAGTTATTCCGAAATTACATAGTTCACCTCTACACTATAAACACTTATTTTAACGTAATGTTGAAATATTGTCGAGCTGGAGGACTTCTTACTCCGACTCCTGTAACTCTCATTGTACACCGAGTAAGGGAAGTCAGAGGAAAAGTGCTCTACCTTGGACTTCCTGCTGTGTAGACAGCGCCAAAAGCCAAAATAAGCTATTTTGACTTAAGCTACGCAACTGACATAGCTCAACTTGTGTAGCTTATTTCGGCTTTAGCCCTGCTATGTTAGACATGCCCTCAGAGAAAGATACTATAGAGACAACAAACCGAGGTTTCCAAATCACAACCTCTGTCCAGTAAAGATGGAGTGCAAAATTATCTGGTAGTAAGAATGGCTGGGAATCAATTTTACAGTCTTGTCTATACTCCTCTAATCACATGACTCCTGACTAGCATA